TTCAAACATGTCACATGTATTGTATAGTTATAGATATTGTATTGGGACATGTTATAATATCTATTATAAGTAAAATGGTTCAAAACATTTAGTACTTAGACATGTAGATGGAGATATAGCAAAGTGGGTTGTTATAATTGTAAAAAGAGATTAAGTAGGATTCTATTGTGTAATTTTATAACATAAGTGAAAATATGATAGAAGTATGCTTTAGAATTAGAATTAATACATGGAAATAATTAAGACACATTATCCAAGCATGAGATAAGAGTTGAAAAGCACAAAGAAATCAAAAATCAAAGTTCTAGTCGTTGTATCTGGTTTGTAAATTATACCTCTTGAGTTTTAATAGTAAAAGTCAACCTTAAGTATTCCATATCATTTTTCTATTCCAACATGTAGCTAACTAAAAAGGTACATGTAATGAAAAGAATCTACCCAACAATATACAGTATGAGAAAGTTATGGCTAAAACAAGAGAGGGCTATTACATGCTTGGTCCGCATAACTACAATCATTTTCAGCTTGGTCTGTACAAGCAAAACATAATATTTCAGCATGTTTATGTATGCATGGTATGTGCATCAACATGCCTTGGTCATTAGTGGTTCGTGTTGGTGAAGCTTGGAAGTTTTTGAATCTTGTGATTTAAGTTCATAACACCATATTTTCACCTAAAACCTTATGGGACTTGTATGTGTGGCCTAAGGTGCGAGTTTGGGTGTTTGCTACTGAATGTCGAGACCAATAAGGAGGTTATACTAATGGAAACAAAGTCAAGCTTTCATAAAAAACAATATCAAAGGTTAATAATCTCATACCCTTCACTTAGATTATGAAGGAGATGATGGAAATAAAGTATGATTTTGAATTCTAACTTTTATTTCGGCTTACATGTTAGTTTTAAAGATAGATTATGATTATTTGAGATTCATTAACATGTTAGGTTGTAAAAATGACATTATTTAAGTTGGAATTACTGATTTATGGGTATTAGGTCAGGAACCCTAATTTGGCAAGTGTCTTGTATGTGGGAATTAAGTTAGAATAACAATAATTTGGGTTATCTTAACATTGTATTTACCATTATTTACAAGCTTGAAGGCATCAACCATGCCTAGTTTCATTTGATGGGTTAAATGTCAATTGAATAAAAAAAATTATGTAAGAAACAAGGGTTAATTGTAATTTATTCCAAGTTACATCAAAAGTGATATCAATTATTCAATTGAGTTCATGAATAACAGAGTCATGTGGGATCCATGAAAATTAAACTTGGAATTTAGTATTTAATTGAATGTCTATTGTTAAAATGATATCATGAAACTTAAATATCATATGTCAATCATAGTAGCAATAGGAAGGTGAAAGTAAAACATTGAAACATAGAAATAGTATGAAAAAGAACAAAAAATGGAAAACATTGATAAATGTTGGTAACATGAAATCAATGTATGATATTTGACAAAGAATTAAGGGACAATTAAATAGAATTGAAGCAATGTATTAGACAAAAACGAAAGGAATAAAAAGAAAAGTAAAGTAGTTAGTAATACTAACCACCAACGTAAGCACATATAAACTTTTTAAGTTTGTTACATGTTAGAATTGTAATATATTTTAACAGAAAATCTAATATACTCTCCACCTAAATCGATGACAGAACTCGAACCATCGACCTCAAGGAAGGAGACAACACTGACGTATAGTTTTATCTGTGTTGTTATAGATATGATGAACAGTTTTGCATATCTTATATTACTTCTACGAGAAGAACTGTGCATCAAGGAAAGGCATGATGCGCCTACACCAACTTTGCAAAAAATAGTAAAGTCTTAAGTCGATTTATTTGACACCACTTGATAGTAAAACTTTTTAGGAACAATAGACAAGGAAAATGTGAGATAACCGAATGTTTTGAAGGAATTAAACTTATGAAAGGTCTAAGAACCAATACGAGTCTCAATTTCACGCTACCAACGTCGAGGATGATAATTGAAGCCGTTTAATTTACATATTTTGTACGTATATCAGGACGAAACCCTGTAAACACTAGAATCATATTACGTGAAAATCATGAGGGTTAAGCCATTAGGTGATTGTATTGAGGAGATTAACCTATTTTTGTAACTAGTGGTTATTAAGTGTTGTTAGTGATTGGTTAACTGATCACTATGGGAGGTGTAAAAAAATACTGGTGATTTGAGATTGTTCTGAGGAACTTGATATGTTGTGTAAACAGGTTTAGAAAAGTGACGAATTGGAAGCATCATAGTGTTTGACACCAGGATAATAGTTAGTCTTCAATAACTAGCTGGGTAAGTAAGCACACTCCTCTTTTAGATAAATGTTATCTTAACGTATGTTTACTATTATATTGCATGATAAATATAATATAATAGTTATTGTGAAATATTACGTAATTGGTTTAGAACCTATAAAGTTATGAGTGGTTGGGAGTTGTAGTGAATTTGTAAAATGGAAATTGATAGTAGGTTATTACTATATGAAATAATAAACAAACGTTGTGGTGGTCTTGGTGATTATAACACTATTGTACTGGAATCAATAAGTCATGATGGTAGCCTTGGTGGCCGTAATACCATCATTAGAAGAACTACAAGTTAATGACAACCTTAGTGGCCATAATGCACTTGTATGTTGGTATTGGATTATGATGGTAGCCTTGGAGGTCGTAATACCATCATTGACAGAACTTCAAGTCAATGGTAGCCTTGAAGGTCATAATGCTATAATTGTATATATTGGTATTGGATTATGATGATAGCCTTAGTGACCGCAATGTTATACTTGTATGTTGGTATTGGATTATGATGGTAGCATTGGTGGCCATAATACCATTATTGGGAGAACTCCAAGTCATTGGCAGTCTTGGTGGTCGTAATGATATACTCGTATGCACTATATATATATATATATATATATATATATATATATATATATATATATATATATATATATATATATATATAGGGAAAGGTTATTTGGAGAACAAAAAAACTCTAAAAATCATAAAAATGCATAAAAAAAATTCCAAGACACCAGAAAACTTTTTTTTTTGATTTTTTTTATCAAAAAATCGCAGCATTGTTTAAAATTTCGCTGAAAAAAAATCAAAAATCAAAAATCAAAAAAAAAAATTAAATAAAAGTTTTATTTCAAAAAAAAATTTCAGCGATTTTGATGTAAAAGTTGCGATTTTTTGATAAAAAAATTCAAAAAAAAAAAGTTTTGTGATCTCTAAGTATTTTTTTTATGCGTTTTAATGATTTTTAGGGTTTTTTTGTTTTCCAAATAACCTTTCCGTATATATCTATATATATATATATATATATATATATATATATATATATATATATAGGATTATGATGGTAACCTTGTTAGTCGAAATATCTTCATTGGAAGAAATGCAAGTCGGCAACCTTCGTGGTTGTTATACTTGTAAATGAATATAATGTAGTGGAAGCTTGTGTGACTAAATTGCCAATGGATGAAAATGTTAGTTAATAAGATGATAGATTGGGTAGTTATGATGCTACCGAGGAAAGGTTATTTGGATTGGAATAACAGTTGAATTAGCTATAACCTCGATCATTAAGGGAGTTTGTGTAATAACACTAAAACCGAGTATATATCATCGATTTGTTAGAAAGGAACTGAGAAATATTTAGGGTTCATTAGTATAATGATATACTTGATCGTGTAATTAATTTCTTACTGGACGACTTGGGTACTCACTACCCTCGTTGTAGCTTACCCGTTTGTTGTTGTGTGCCTTTCAGATTCAGGTAGATGGTGTATAAAGATGTGAGTTTGGTAGTGCCCGACTCGAATCATCGTGTCAGCAATATATACGATCCTTTTGGTAGCTACATGTATTGATTGTTAATACAAATGCAAAGTGGATTTATTATGATTTATGATTTGAAAACCAGATTTTTTTGATGTACTTTGTGTTAAAAGTCGGGTGTTACACTCGACTTTGTAAATTGTCACTTTAACTCCCTCAACCTTGAATTTTATAAAAAAAATACTAATTTATAACATGTTTATTTTATGATATAAATTCGAGGTGGTCAACGTTTTGACGTAAATTTAAAATTTTTGTTCATTAATTTAAATAAAAAAACTTACTTTTTTTATTTTTTTATATATGTACCAATATTAATTCGAGTTAATTTACGTTTCCACGTAATTTTTTTTATATGTTTTCATGCTTATTTTTAAGCATTTTGCTTCACAAGGTTTGGTTTTGGTCGGTGGCTTTTGTGTTTTGGCAAGGTAAGTCCTAAGTTTTTTATATATGGATTTGGTCCCTTACTTTTATGGGTTGACAACTTAAGTCTTCCTAAGTTTTTATTATTACCGAAAGAGTTTCTTTTCTTAAATCAATTATTGCTGCTGCAACACGCAGCCGGTAGAATCTTAGTTGTATACAAAATATATGTTAAATATAAAGTGTATATATATATATATATATATATATATATATATATATATATATATATATATATATATATATATATATATATATATATATATATATATATATATATATATATATATATATATATATATATGTGGTTTTAATGAAATATCGAAAAAATATTACAATAATTTATTTTTAATAAAATATTATTTTTAATATTATCTTGAGATTTATTTCTCGTACCATATGAATACATATGCCTAGTTTGTTTATAATCTTGTAATATGGAAGGGTTTTAATAAGTTCGACTGATATTGTTTAAAGGTTTTTGTCTATTGTAGAAGAAATATACTTATATGTATATTTTATTTAACATATTAAAATTTGACAAAATTAGAATATGTTATCATGTAATTAAAAAGTACATTGAAAATTAAAAATGCAATGTAAAAAATAGGTATTAATAAAAATAAAGATGTTTTGTATTTTCCTTTATACAAAGGGATATAAAAGTAGGAAGTATAAACTATGAATTGTGGTTTTGTTTTCTCGTGAAGTTAAGGCGAAGGAGCGTTTACCATTGAATATGAGTTTATGACCCCACACATACAAACCCATACTTGATTTATACCCCTACCACCTCAATCTACATCTAAACACACACACATGATGTTTCCGGTGCCGGAGTTCGGAGAACCAGTTTCTACACCTCCTAAACTCTCTCTCTTTTCACTACCAACCAAACCAAGTACTCTGCAGGATGGTCCAACGCCGCCACCCAACACGGTGGCCACCATCCCATTCTTGTGGGAGGAAGCACCAGGAAAACCAAGACGACCCACCTCCACCGATGATCCACCAAAGTCTAAAACAGTCAGGTCTTTAGACCTCCCTCCAAGGCTAACCACCACCGTGGGTACTGCTACTAGCAACGTAACCAACAGTAGTGGTGGAATAGAGATTATACCATCACCGACCACCGTATTGGGTGGACCTTATGAATGCGTGTACACTTTTAATAAATCAATGTTGGGGTCGCCGGAGAAGGTGGTGGGTTGTAGTAATTACAGCGGTAGGAGTAAAGGTAAGATCACGATGCCTTTGAGGAATTTAATGAGGAAAGAGAAGTCGCCAGTAAAGTTGATCAGTTCATGGAGGTGGGATAGTTTCAGGGATATTGGAGTTGACAAAGGGGACAGGTCGCCAGCGGTCAAGTTTTGCTCATGGAGGTGGGATAGTTTCAGAGATATGGGTGGCGGTGGCAAAAGCGGTGGTAGCAGCTGCAGAAGTGTAGGTGGAAGTGGTTCTCTGTCTTCTTCATTTGATGACTTTCAAAAGTCTCTTGATTCCAATAGTAAGATCACAAAAGTTACAAGGAAGAACAGCTTCACGTTCCTCAATCGTAGTTCTTCTGGGTTTTTGGTAAGTCTCATTAATTAATCTTTCCTTCAAAATGTTATTAATGTGTTGAACCGGGTCGGGCTAAATTCCATAATATTATTAAACAAACCGCCGAAAATGTTGAACTTGGCTGATTCACGTAACTATCTAAAATGGTTTTAGGCCGCACAGTCGCACGACGCACATTAACGTCTCCGTATTTATTAGTAACTTTAATATATTTTTAGGATATAAGAAAAGTCCATGTCAAAAAAAAAACCATAAATTCACACAACAATGATCCAAATCAAATCAGTGTAGTCAATGTGAAAAACAATTCGTAACAATCACTTTTGGATATCAAATAATATCTAATTGAATATATACCAATTCATCAATGAAATTATGGTAGGATATGAAATCAAATTAGAATGTAATGTTTTGATTGATCGTGCATGGTCAATCTCCTTCGTTAATATTTCAAATCTATATTGCTTGGTATTATAAAAATCAATCTAGGATGTTCAATCAAAACTACTTTCATAAATCTTTTGGAAAAACTCAAAAGTAGAGATACAAATACTATGATAATTCTTTATTTCTTTTCATGAATGTAAAAAAAAAGGATTGAAGTCTCACTTTTATTTATACCCAAAAGATGATAAGATTGACAAAAATAGTTTTCGGAAGTTATTAACGCTTGCATGGAACTTATAATTGTTTCGGAAGCAATTTTGAAAAGTCGACAGACAACATCCTCGGCATGGATTGTTGAACCTCGGTTTCAGGGTTTCAGACCGGTGAAGCAGCCTCAGTTGCAAACTACTATAGCAACCTCAACTATAGACTACTATAGCATCCTACTAGTTGTGGACTAAAGTCTTTTGGTAGCATTAAATAAGGTTGCAGAAGCACCCTGTTTGCCTTAGAAAAAATCTATTTTCTTTAACAAACTACTTCTCTTGAACAGAATTTTACAGTAAGACCTTTTAGGGAGTTGTCCCAGTATATGCTAGAGTATTGGCCCTTGACCCTCGTTTATTTCCATGTCCATGATCAAACTCACATAATAAGGTCATAGTTTTAATCGTCATTTGGACTCGTTTCTATTCAAATTAGAACAAATGGTTGGTGACACTAAAATCACAAACATTTCATGATAACCATTGTATGTGAATATCAAATTATATCCGAAACGAACATATAAAAAATCCATAACAATTGTAACACTTAGTTTTTCGTACTAAGGACACCCTATAAATCAGTTTATTTACAACCTTATAAAACATTTTGGTGTACACTAGCACACTGAAATACAATGAGTTATCACCAAGAATCGTATTCGTATCAACTATATGATTTGAGCCATGGGTTTCAACAACCTAACCTACAACACAACACAACAACAACAACAAAACAACGTACTTCATAAGGCTTTGTGAAGAACAACTACAAGAACATAACATCATATATAAATAAAGTTATCATTAACAACATATACACCACATCAAATATACTAAATAAAACACATTAATTGTTTATTGTCTCATGACTCCTTATGATAACAACAAATATTATTTCACTTATTTGGTTATTGTCTTGTGCACAGTAGCAGAACCAGAAACTTTTGTTAGGAGTAGCATAGAGATATTCTTGATAAATGATAATGAGTATTTTTCTTTTAAATGTGATTGCACTAGATATATCAAACTAACACAAAAGTCATATATCTTAAAGTTGACCTCTTCGTTTATCCAGTTTTCGAATACGCTCTACTACTTTTATCATTACTACCATTTCCAACATCCAATTTTCTGTTAAAATTATTTCTAATAAAAATCCTACAAACAAAATTAAAGATTTCGAATTCACAATTAATGATTTAAACCAAATTTCACCAACAAAAAAACAACATAACAAATAAATAACTAATTAGCTAATTTTAGGTTTTTTATTTAAACAACTAAATTAAACAAAATAAAAAAAATCAATATAAACTAATTAATAAATGATACGTATTTCATTCTTGCTGGAAAACCAAAAACAAGATAAAATAAACAACTAGCCTGGCCTAGCCATGAGATAGTGAGAACAAGGCTAGATGCTACATAAGCTCTTCTTTATTTTGTCATGCCTTTTTTCCTTTGTAGAAATATTGTATGCATTTATTTACTGGAAATAGTTTAAAACTTTTCACTTTTTATTTAGACTAAGAGTACTATTAAATTTATCAGTATACTATATGTATATATAATAGAGATCCAATTTTTTAACATATGTAGGGAGAAATGAGGGGTAACACATGCTACCCCTACCAACCAATTGGTTTCTTCAGTGCTTGTATATCGTTAAGGTTAACCACGTATTCACCACTACTATAATACAGTAATGTCCCATTTTTCAAACCAAAATTTTCACTTTTAACAAATAATATTTCATTCAAAACATTCTTCCACTAATACAAAACCATTGTTTGGTAATCAAACCCAAATATCCAAATCAAAGTATAAAATGGAAGCATACGGAAACCTCAAATCATAGTGTCGATGTGCGTGTACAGTTAAGTCTTGCCCTTCAAACAATCTGATGAAATATCTATTTAATCTACAACTTTAAGTTAAAGCTTAATGTGCTCCCCAAAATACCACATACAACAATATACATATAATGCATACAAGTAATGGCCTTCAGCACACAACTGGTCCACCCTTTTAGCCTTCTGCATAAAGTTGGTCATCCCCTTGGTCTTCAACATAAAGCTAATCTGCCCTGAGTATCTTAACGTTTAGTACATACTTGGACCTCTATCAACTCTCACATGTAATATATCAACATATGATAGACAAACAAATAAACAATCCAAAAATAGCATGCGAACGACTAAGCTAGTATACTTGCTTAACAATACACTGGAATATATCTACATCCTAACATACAGAGGATACATATTGTAATATATAGTATAGTAAGAAAAATCACATAGGTCAAAGAGCTAAAGTAACAACACTCTAAGTCTCACGGATGTAGCTACACGCACCACCTAAACCAAACATAGTTTAAATCTTAGTCTATAGCTCAAAATCATAAGTTTGACCCAAAGTCAAACTGGTTAGAAAGTCAATGGTTAGTGGTCAGCACTTGCGCGGAGACTAGAGACTAGTCACATTGTGAAATTCTACATGACAAAATAGTCGTAAAACCTTCCAGGATCATATCGTGATCTTTCAAGGAGTCGTGCCGCTAACTCAGTAAAACAACCAACTCTCTTTAAGTGCTTAATCCTTAAAGACAGGAATTCCAAATTTGATATATGAAGCTCCACAACATATTAATGGATAAAGTTTGAAACTTTATCCATTCCAATGGCTTAAAAACTCAAGATCTTAAACTTTAAGTCTAAGTGTTCGCTTATAAGGCCAAAACCAAGTGTATGGCTCAAGGAAAGCACATGCATGATCTTTTTATCCATCAACAAGGGTCTAGAAGAACAAATCATTAAGAATAAGTTCTGAAGTTCTTCAAACTTCAAGAACATCAACATTGAGGGACCAAAAAGCTCTCAAATCAACCCAAAACCAAGATCTAGCAAGCATGAGTTAAAAACATAAGAACTTGAATACTCACAAAGCTTGGAGAGGCAAAGAAAATGTAGACAACTTCAAGGGATTGCTTCTAATAACACCATAATGAATCTTTTTTTACCCAAAAATCACACCAAGGCATGTAAGAACACAAAAAACTCTTTAAGAGGTTAGGGTTTTGCGAGAGAAAATGTTTCTGAGGATGGAAGTTGGGAGGATGAAGAAACCCTCAAGGTTTTTCCCTTTAAATTGGCCTAAATCCCAAGGCTTCTAAGGTTTGTCCCATCAGACCCATCGCGTCGCGAGTTTCATTAAAGGTCGTGTCATGATCCCTAAATCTGTCGTGCCACCACTTATAGAAAATCTCAAAAACTTATTAATTCCAAATAAATGCAAAAAAGCATACCTGAAAAACTGATGTTACAAATACACACCTTTGGATATACTCCGTCTAAAGTAAATACACCAAATTTATCATCAAGTATCATCTCAATAATGCATGATATAATAATATAACTACATATCTAATTCACATATTGTGCAACTACACACATCAATAATAATGGATGCTAGATTAGTGTTACTCACCTCACTAGTTAGTAGACTAACTTTATTTTTGGTCTTTAGCCTCTGTTGCTTCTCAGCTTGACACATACCAACATATATTAAATAAATAATAAGTTCCTCAGAACTTGTTACAACTTACTCCGAGCTAAACAATGTGACCAATTATCACAAAACTAGTTAAACTCCATACTGCAACTGCTAAATAACTTAACCCCATAAACTATTAGATAGATCTCATATTTCTAACAAGTCCACTAGTTAGGGTTTATAACCCACATCAACCAGTCGGGGAATTCACTATTAGATTTACAACATAGTTCATAATAGCACCATATTATGAGTTCTAACAACTAACTCGAGTTTCAATTATTCATCCTAACTACGCTATAAAATACAATAACGTAATCACAGAACAAGAGGATACCTCGATTCAATTGACATCTCATACCCTTACATTCTAGCACCGACTACTCGATCAATATCCTAATAACCAATCAATCTCTCTCTCTCTCTCTCTCTCTCTCTCTCTCTCTCTCTCTCTCTCTCTCTCTCTCTCTCGTTGATCTTATTTTGTCAAAACTTCTCAAATGGACAAAAAAACTCCTTTTATATACATAAGACTTTCGAGGAATCACATCACCACCATAAGGTCATCGTGTAGTAATCAACATCATACGTCTCAGCCATCTGCCACATGCCGTCTCCCGCAACTACGTATATCGACCTCTCAACACGTGTCCAACACCGGGCATCTCATTGCATCACAACCAACATCACCCTCGCGTCATGACCTTTGACCGTTGACCAAGACCTGATCCCTCTTTGACCAACGTACCACAACATAAAAAACTCGCATCGTGACTTTCCAAAATAGCAAAGTACTTATAATTTACCATTTTCTTCTTCTACTTCACAATTTAACACCAGCACACATTCTATAAGCAACTTAAATCAAACTTAATGCTCTGTTTCTCCTACTTATCTCGTAAAATGAGAATTACCATCGAGAGAAAAATCATTGTAAAATGAGCATTAACCCTCGAAACAATATTTGTTATGAGAAATGGGTATTACAACAATCATTTTAAAATGAGCATTACCATCAATAGAAAAATCCATATCGTTTAATGTAACATGAGTTTTGAAGGGAACAACGTCAATGCAAACAACAAACAAGATCAAATATATGGACATATAAATAAATATATCAATCACCGTAATATTATACCATTGAGCGGACACCAAAAAAAGATCAAGTTAATGTGAAACTTGAAACATAATAGAATATAAACAATACAAATATATGGTGAAAACAAACTTGAAAACCAAAATCAACGTTTTGAAATAGGGCTCGTCTTATATGAGTTTATTGTACACACCGAGTAACTTGTATTCGCCCCTGTTGCACTTTTATAAATTCCAATTAAATAAAATTACCTAGATCATACGAAACACATCAACATGGGGTAATTGTTGTTACCAATAGAGGATGATCACACGAAAATCATCAACATGGGGCAATTGTTATTACCAATAGAGGAGGGTCTCCATTGAAAAAGAGTCTGTAACTAAGGGTTGTGAAAAATAAAAGTTAGAGCAATGAGGATAAAATGTGAATTTTGGACTCAGTAAAGCGAGGCTTTTTTTAACTTAACATATACATACCATCTTAACTTATATATATATATATATATATATATATATATATATATATATATATATATATATATATATATATATATATATATATATATATATATATATATATAGAGTCACGATCAAATAAGAAGTAAATTTTTGGTAGAAAGTTAAAAAGTTTTTTTCTACATATTTCTTTCGCGAACAAACAAAATGAATCATTAGATGATTCATTTGTAAGATGATTCACAAGAAAAAATTCTCAAAAAATCATCTAGATGATTCATTTATATAATGATTTTGTTGTTATTCACTAAAATTGTCATAAAAGTGAATTTTTCCTTAATTTACTTAAAAATGAATCATAAAGATGTTTTTTTGAGAATTTTTTCTTGTGAATCATCTTACAAATGAATCATCTAGTGATTCATTTTTTTTTGTTCGTCAAAAAACTATGTAGAAAAAAAAATTTCTTACCTTCCTACCAAAAAAAATTTCTTACCGGATATATATATATATATATATATATATATATATATATATATATATATATATATATATATATATATATATATATATATATATATATATGCATTGCGTTATGTATCCATTGAACCCATTAAGTACAAATTAGCCACTTGGTTGTATATTTACACGCTACAGAAAAGTAAAAGGTCAACATCAGCCTTTTGGCATAATGATATAACTGAAGCATTGTAACAGTTGAGTTGTGGATTCTCAATTTCTTATCAATTTGTTAAACGCGGACACGAGTTGTAAAGTTTCAATTAATCAAAACTTGTGGCTGTGTACAATGTTTTCAAATTAAGTCCTTAACGAGTGAAGCAATATGTTTGCAACAATGTAGATGATTTACAACAACCTAAATTTAGATATTTCGTTAACGTTACAAAAATTTGAAAAAAGTGGAAGTCGGGCATCAAAACCTTTAGCAAGTGATAAAACAACTTTAGCAAGGAACGGTTGCTAAAATAGTTTAACACATAAAGAGTGTTTTTAAGCATTTTGTGTTGCAGACTTATAGGTATGGTACTTGTATTGTATAGTTATCACGCTTCCTATATGAATCTATTGTATTAGCAGTTTCAAAGCAATTTTATCTACTTAATAACATAAATGATTCTATAAATTGACAGGCAGGCATGTATGGGACCTTCAAACAGGCAATGCAAAGGAAATCACGAAGATAAGCCTTTATAATTCACATTATCATCATCAATAGCATGATATAATTAATTATCAAGAATGAGTTATTATTTGATGGGTACTTACATATAAGTGTGTAGAAGTATAGGTGCAAGGTTAGTTATATATTAAAATGCTTGTTATTTGTGCTCGTAAATTCTGATAAACGATAAACACTATAAAAAGTTGGAAATTTTCAATGTTTTTATTGTTATTCACTTGTAAAAATCTCTTTGTTTTGGTCAGGTTTGTGAAATTATCTTTCAAAACATAAATTGTGTTGTGGAGAGTATCAATTAAGTTAAGCCAAAACATTGTTCTAAATCATGCAATATGCAATATGTAGCGTATTGCTAGTTGGAAAGGGATTGTTGCTATGTTTAAAAGTAAACTCTATTCTTGGAAGGCTCGCATACTGGAGATAGGGTGCTCATTGTTGTGGAAAAAACTGAGTCTTTGGAATAATTTTTTTATTGGAGGGGACTTGGAATATAAAAAGATGACTTGGGTTGTTTGGAAAAAGTGTTTAGCTAGTAGAGATCAAGGTGGTCGAGGCATTATGAGGATTTTTGCTTTGAATAGATCTCTTTTATTCAAATCGATTTGGACATTTAGAATGCATAACGACTTGTGAGTTGAAGTTATTAAGAGTATTCATCGAGTTGATGGGGGTCTTGGCAATCCGACTTATTGCACTCCTTCCTCTCGTTGAATTGGGGTTTTAAATTCTATTAAAAATCTCTCTTTGAACAGTATCGACCTTCTTTCTCTTGGCAATCATAAGCTTAGTAATGACGATGCTTTCTCCTTTTGGCATGATGTGTGGTGTGGTGATTTTGCTTTTAAACATAAATTTCCAATGGTTTTTGCCTTGGATTAGTAGAAAATGGCATGGTTTCCACTCATATTTAGCTCTTTGATTGGATACCGATTTTTAGAAGGTCTCCTAGAGAAGGTAAGGAGATTATTCAATATGATCTTTCATTGCGCCTGTTAACTTAGGGGAGGATCATGATTCTTAGAGGCGGTCTATCGACCTGGCTACAAGTTTCATAGTTGCTTCAACTTGTTGCTTTATTGATTCTATTATCTTATCTTGGAGACAACTTCTCAACCTACTAGATAGAACAGATTGGTCCGGTCAAAAGTTAACATTCTTTTTTAGAGATTGTATTTGAATAAGGTTCCAACCAAATTCAACCTGGATAGATGTGGCATTGATGTTGGTTCGTTGTTGTGCTTGGTTTGTGATGGTGGGGTTGAGACGGCTAATCATTCTTTTTTTCCTATGGTATGGCATTTGACTTGTGGAATCTTCTAGGTAGATGGTGGGAGATGAATTTGCTTGTCTTCTTGTCTATCTCTAAATGGTTATCTTGGTGTGACAATGGTTGTATTTCTACTTAATTGAAGAGGTGTTTGGAAGCAGTGGTTCTTACTATGATGTGGGTGATTTGGCCTTTTAGAAATAGATTGTTGTTTGTGCAGGTTAAACCTACCAGGGTGGTGTTTTGAGATTTCATCCAATCTCAATCTTTTTTATGGATTTCTTCTAGATGTTCTAAGCTTAACATTAAGTGGGTTAATTGGGTGAAAAATCCAACTTGTGTAATTACTTAATGTCTTTTTCTTATATCGTTTGTTAGTTTTAATAATATTGTCATCGTTCAAAAAAATCATGCAATATGTAATGTATTTACTAATTTTAGCAACTATGTGCATTGTTAATGACACTTCGGGGTTGTTTGATATATCTTCTAGATGGGTATTCGAAGCAGGTTTTTTCGGGTATTCATTTGCGGATTTGAAGGCCGATGTTAATTCGAGGGGGAGTTTGGTCTTGATCACGCCAGCTCGGTGGATATTGAAGTCGAGCATCCAATCCTATCTTTGAGGGGGAGAATGTTAGGGTGCAAAGTCACGCTTAGATATATTTGTGCTTTAACCACTTGTATTGTGTGATGAGTTGTCTTTTCCTATAAATAGGAAGTGGGTGACACTTATTTATGTAAGAGAACCATTTGGAGTGTTAGACTAGATAGAGAATTTGTACAAGACCCATTTGCATACTCTTTCAAGATCTAATATGAGCTTAAACAGATTTATTTACTCCTTGTGTTCTTGAGTTTTTATGATGATTCACTAGATATTTTCTAATTCCGCACAAGCCATCATAATCAACACCACTGCAATTGGTATCAGAGCAAATGTTCTTGATTTGATCAAGTATTGATCAATGGTGGCTTTCTAAATTTGGTGATTCTTCATGTTTTTGTTGATCTTCGTGTTTAGAGAGTGTTTTGTGTTGTAGAAATCGTTTTTTCCTTGGTTTGATCCATAATTCGATTCTCTCCCTAGAATACTTGTTTGTACCACTTTCTCTTACTAGAATTTGGTTCATATTAACTTTCTATCTCTAAAGATCTCCTTGATTTTTTTTACTTTCTCTCTCTCTATAAAACCCATTCAAAATCACTTTCTCTCTCTACAAAACTCAAGATTCTATTGATTGATAAATGATGAAAGAAACAATTTGTGATGCTTGATTTGTAGAGTGTATTCCATGGTCATTCAATTTTGAAGGTATTCTCAATTGTTTTGTAACCGGGTATTTCAAACGAAATTTACTCATTTCTAAGATGAAATGTGAATGTGGAAAGTTCAATGGCTATCCTATTGATCATGATCATCATGCGGTGTCGCTTGATCATTTGGTAACAAATTTTCATGAAACAAGGAAGAAGAAGAAAGATGATGAAATAATTGAAGGAATTCGTCTTGATGAGTGAAAATATGGTGATAATATTCTTGCTTCTTACCCGGATGTTCATGATATTCAAGAAAAAGGAGTTCAAGTTGATTCTTATGATGAAAAAGTTTTTTGCTCGATTAGAGTTCAAACCAATGATATTTTTTGTTCGTGTGATTTGTTTGAAGAAATGATTCCTTATCATAAGCCGGTGATCCAAGAAATTCACAAGTATCAAACTCCAAAGGATTTGATTCAAACTCACAAAGTTGGAGTTGTGGAAAGTAGGTTTGTTCATGAAGTCAAGTCTTCAAGATGCAAAAAGATGAGAAAGAAAAAGAAGAAGAAGAAGATTAAACAGAAAAACAAGCGGGTTTACTCACAAAAATCGTCAAATGTTGTGAAGCCGAAATCCGTGAAACAAATTTGAGTTCCAAAGAAACAAAGTCCAAAGGTTGCATTGAATTTGAAGTCAAAACCCGAAAGTGCTGGTGGTTCTTTTGAAGATGTTCTTGGATCGTTGAAGAACACGAAGAACGAGTTGTACATTGTGCATAATGGGTGGTACAATGTTCAAATTAGAGATTTTCTCATTCCAACAAAAGAACCAAGAACTTCTAGATTTGATTCATTCGTTGCAAACGGAACTCGATTCGTCAAAAAGGTATCACAAATTCTCAAATGGATTCCAAAACGTCCATGATTTCGATTCATATTTTATGTTTTTCATTTTTGGTCGATTTGCCTCATTGGATCGAATTCGTTTCAACCCCATTGATTGATCTAATTATTTTTTTTAGATCAAAACTAAAATCAAAATCTTATTCTAAATTTTTTTTTGAAATCAAATTTTGCTAGTATTTCGAAAATATCATCAGCAAAATATATTGAAATTCAATTATGTTCAATACTGTTTATTCTCAATACACTTAAAGCCCATTTATTCGAAATCATAAAAAAGAACTTAGAAAGAAGAAGAGTTTTTATAAAAGGAAAAGGGTGTGGTGCATGCGATCAACCGAGCTCAAGTAAGTACTCCCAAATTACCATACAAGTTATATTATGATTATCTATTTCAGTTCCAGTAGAACAGCATGCTAGAATAGGACTAAGGATCTAGGAGGATGCCTTATGTCACACCCTCAAACCAAGGATGGCGGAAACGTCCGGGGGTGGAGGACTTCATGTAGAGTATCACAACAATGAATATAATAGTGCTCAAAGTAATTACAACCAACACAAATATAATTGAAAACGTTACATCAAAGAACATGTTTACATGATTCACATCAATTACATTATGATACAAAATGAACTATTTGACAATTTATCGTCCCATCCTCAAAACGTTGTTGATTTCCTGTTTTCACTGAATTCCTGAGAATACAAGTAGTTTTGAAAAGTGTCAACACAAAGGTTGGTGAGTTCATAAGAAATTTCGTTAGAAAAGTAAATCGTTTTCCTTGTAAAAGCGTTAGAATATGTATCCAGAAAATCCGATATTTTCTTTAAAATCTGTGTAATGTAGTCTTATGACTGAAGACCAAAATGTATAAGTAACCTTTCTTATTAATAGAAAATGTTATGTACTTAAATGGACATGGACGCGTTTGAATTAAATGAAATTTCTGTATGTTCTCATGTTTGTTAATACTTTATATATATGTAGTCCTAAATTAGAGGACCGAGTAATAACAAGTATTGACCATACTTAAAGGTATAAATGTGGTTTCAAATTATGTGTAGTCGTAACTACCAAAACCAAAAGTGTACAGTAATATCTGTACTCATAGAGATAAAAAGTGATTCTAAATCGACATAAAACTCATTTAGGTTTTAAAAATAAAATCCCGTTAACTTATGGATTGTTATATCCCTATGTGAGTCGCTATAATCATACTATGACTATGTGAACCTGCCACGACGTTCTTAGGCGTCGCGAAAACTGAAATGACATTTGTCACTCGTAAACCTGCAGGTCCCACTGTAGCTAGCAGCAAGGTGTGGGGTGTCAAACCCAATATAGATCTATATACAAGTATCACGTTCTCCCTCAAGGAGATTCTGATTATAACTACCAGGAATTATATCTCGCACTCGGACGTACGGGGAGAGAGAGAGAGAGAGAGAGAGAGAGAGAGAGAGAGAGTCTCACAATATAGGTTAACAAGTTTACGTGAAATGTGTGTGAATATAAATTTTTTCTGTATGAATGTACCCTTTTTGTACGAGTGTGTTGAGTGATGTATCATAAACTATACCTATTATAGTTTATCTAAAATGTATCTAATATGTATGAACTTTTTTATGGAAATGTATTAGTGTTATGAATTTATCAAACTATACTTTTTATAGTTTATTATACTTGTTCTAAAATGAATGCATAATATTTATTACGATTGACTTAGTTTCAGTTCATGATGATAAACTAACAAAGAAC